AATGCCATCCATAGTTAATATATCTTTAGATAATTTGTTTCGTAGATTCTTCGGGCCAAGTACAATAACTTCAGTTTTTGTCGTGTTTAACATCAAAAAATTTAAGGTCATCCACGTTTTTAAGTCCTTGAGGCAGTCTTGAATTTTATTTAGATGATTAATTTCATCAGGTTTGATTGATAAATATAGTTGAGTATCATCCGCATAACAATGAAAGTTTACAGAATGATTCCTTATAATATTGCCTAACGGAAGCATATATAGTGTGAACAAAATAGGTCCAAGCACTGAGCCCTGTGGCACTCCATGGCTAACTTTGGTTTGCATTGAAGATTCATCGTTGACACGTACAAACTGAGAGCGTTCAGATAGATAGGACCTAAACCAGCCTAAAGCAGTTCCCTGTATGCCAACTAAGTGCTCTAGTCTTTGCAATAGGATATCATGGTCGATAGTATCAAATGCAGCACTAAGATCGAGCAAGACAAGAATAGAGACAAGTCCCTTGTCTGAGGCTATTAGAATGTCATTTGTGACTTTAACCAGAGCTGTCTCTGTGCTATGTTGTGTTCTAAAGCCAGACTGAAAATCTTCAAATAAATCATAGTTTTTTAAGTAATCACACAGCTGTTTAAAAAACGAAATGTTCTTTCCACGAATTGTGTAAGAGTGTCAGGGTTTGGTGCCGTTATGTTGGAGCGGGGGTTCATGTTTTTTTTTTATTTCACTCCCAGACGGCAACGAACGATAAATTAGGCTCCAGTCAAAATATATATAATAAGATGTATATTATATATATAATATAACATATAGTTTAAAACAATTTTTACATTTTCTAGCAGACACCACACACTAAGGAGATACCAAGCCATTGGAGGCGACCAAATAAAACGTACTGTTGCCTTGATTCAAATTCGGAATTTCTTGAAAATTGTTGAAAACATTTGAGATAAAAAAAAGTTCATTACTCAACAAAAAAATATAACATAAATCTTTTTGTTTTTAATCAGAATACTTCAAAAGATTAAATATTGATAAATACAAAATTAAATTAAAAGAATGACCATAACCATATGAGGATAGTGTACAGTAAATAATTAAAAATAAAATAGAACAAAAAAGTTTCTAACAAAAATATTTTATATACACAAGAAGTACAAATAAAAATGTGCACAGTGTACTATATACATGTATATACAAATATATGGTGTATTGGTATTAATAAGACATTTTAATGCTGAAATGTAACACGGTATACCTTAAAGGTTAAGGTTTATCTGGCAAGTCATGAATAAACAAATATTTTCCTTGACTGTGGTTTGATAAATATACAATATAGATAAATGTATGTCCACATATCGTGTGAGTTTAATTGCACTGATGGCGTAATGCCACCAAGGCTTTTACTGCTTGCACCGGGCTCAGGGCATGTTGGAATGCCCTCTAATCAGGTTAAGTTATTAAGACCTCCAATGGGGAGGGAACTGGGTCACAGGCAGCTAAACGCAGAGAGCGCGAGAGAGAGCTAGAGAGGGAGGGAGGGAGGGAAAACGTGAGAGGAAGCAGCAGAAGGATGTAGCTCAATGGAGAGCAGCAGTCGTATGAAGCACATGATGCCAAACATCCAGCACTGCTTTGATCTGTATTAAGGTTTTCTCAAAACTAGACTTTGTTTTAATTCGTGGACAGAGGATAATGCAGTTTTGAATTTGAATGTATTTGCCATTCCATACTTGAGTTTCTGTCGTTGGATTTTCTGCAAACCAAAGCTGCATGTCAAGTTTTCTTCTGGTAAAACGTGTCTTCTTCCAATATTGGACACTTTCAACTTTTCAACAAACTCTGAAAAGAAGAACAACACTTTTATGAATTCACTCCTCCACCAGAGACGGAGCTTGCATGGTTTGCGGGTGGACAGTACATGGACAAACAAGCAGAAGAAACAGGAATGAAGTGCTTCTTTGTGGAGGATCATTCATTCAGCTTCTGTTTCACTCTATTTCTGATGGGCACTGCAGCGTAAACACACGAGCCCTCGGGATACGGACATCAGCGTATACGCACATCCCTCTCCTCCCTCTCCTCCCTCTCATCCGTCTCTGCGTTGCTCTTTCGTCACTACATCTCTCCCTTCAGGGTTGATGCTGCTGCGTTTGCTGCTGGGATAGGCTGTGTGCATCAGAGGCTTCCCTTTTAAGAGTACTATTCAACACTTCAATGCAAACAAGACTTATTTTTGGACCGTAGAAGTTGAAAGAAAAGAAGGAACATTTAGAAGAAAAAGAGAATGAGAGTGCAGCTGCATGTTTCCTCAGGCAGTTGACTCGTTTTATTCACCACAGAGCTATTCATACAAATATTTAACAATATTTTATGTTTCAAGTTCTCTCATGCTGCCAGGGTCAAATCTCTGGACATCATTCTGTTGTTGCAGAAGAAAATCCTTTTAAATCTGCTTTGTAAAATAATATTTTTAGTTTTTTCTGGCATCAAATTGCACTCTCCACTCACTCGGCTTTGTATCCTTGCAGTCATGGCTACCTCAGAGTTTAGTTTGGGATTTTTTTGGTTAGCCCCTGTGCTCTTGGCCCACACACTCCCTGGATCTGTGCGTAAATGAGGCAGACACAATCACTCTTCCTGGGAAGCACCAACTTAATCAGAAGATTTGCTCTGCGTTTCACCTGATCGCCCACACACTCAGTCATCCCTCTATTCCTTTATCTCTCTCTGACACTGTACCTGCCGTAACCCAGTCAGGGGTCAGGACCTTAGCCGCTGAGCGAATGTTACCTCGGTTACCTCTGGAGCCACAATTGGGAGAAGAAACTGCTACGGAGAACCTTTTAAACAATCAAGGAGTCTGAGAAAGAGTAAATATAACAAGGGAAGGATGCTCTGTCAGTAACCCAGGCTGAAGGCCAACGGCCAGGTCAAGCAGAAGGCACTGAAGGTGTCTCATGGCACCTTTATGGAAGGCTATGTTGTCCAAAAGCAGTCCGCTGTACAGAGACTCTCTGTTCTCCTTCTCTCTGTGGGAGTGGAAGGCTCAGGAGAGAGAACTGCTGCTGCTGAAGAAACTCACCGACAGGGAGAGGAGGGCACTGCTCGCACAACTTGAAAAGTAAGATGGACATGTAAATAACACATAGTATGAGCATGAGAATAACTTCTTTTTGTAGAATGTCAAATAGTGATATAATGTTTTATCTCTAGCATAAAAATAAGTACAAAATTAAGCTGTTTCCATTGCTTCTAGTATATATAGCCGCGTTCACACCGCGGTACTTTTCCCACTTTAGTTCCGATATAGTTCCGAAATGTCGCGTTCGCTATAAAGAAATGGAATTAGTAACCATCCAGATCAGATAACACACACACACACACACACACACACACACACACACACACACACACACACACACACACACACACACACACACACACACACACACACACACACACACACAGGATTTAAAAAATATAGATTGGTTCATAGCCCAGAAGTTGCCTATAGTGTTGATAGCGTGAAACAGCTATCGTAGGCTAATGGCTAGCTTGTTTGGTTAGTAGAAAAAAAGTACTTAACAGCTGTAATGAAAGTAACTAAAGATTATGTTTCAACAAGGATATTTTGAGAGCCGATTAAATAGATGTAATATTTGCTTTGTCGTATGCAACAAAATGGTGGCTATAACAATGTCAGTTAACTGCTACTAGCAACCAGCAACAGAGCAACCACCTGATACTCTGGTGTGCTAAATGAGAATTATTTGTCAATGCTAGATAGTCGAGCAAACATGAGGCATAATGTGTTGATACGTGAGCATTTGAGGTCAACTATATATTGTTTTACTTTGGGCAGAGCCTGGCCGG